AGCTACACTTCATGTGTTGCTAAATTGTCCTGAAGTTGTACCATTTCTCAAGTAAGTATTGATTTAGTAGTTATCAAAATATAAAATTTACTGTGATTACATCTCAATGCAAATACTAAAAATATTTAATGTGTCACAGTCACTTCGTGGGTCAATTTGGCCATGATGTTGTATATACGACATTTGATACGTGGTTCAAACAATTTGTAAGTTTATCCTTAAATTATTCTAATACTATGTAGGTAAACAATGTTTGGAATTTATGCTAACTTATGAATTTTTTTAACAATATGTAGGTAAATGATCCAAATAATGGTGTAAATCAATTTTTGAAAGATATATCTTGGGGACCTGGGCTTCAGGTCACAACAATGTCTAAGTACGTTGTGAATGGTTATAAGTTTCATACAGAGGATTGCTCTAAAAATAAAAATAGCAACAACAGTGGGGTGTGGGTTCAAGGTGGTGATGGCACCCAAGTTGGAGATATTGATTATTATGGTGTGCTCAAAGAAATAATAGAACTAGAATATACAGGTTGGCCATTTAAGAAATTGATACTCTTTAGATGCAAATGGTTTGACCCAAATCCAACAAGAGGTACAAGAGCACACAATTAATACAACATAATTGAGGTTAATCATACGAGGCAGTATGATTGCTATGATCCTTTCATAATTGCACATAATGTAAGGCAAGTGTATTATGCTCCTTATCCATTGCGGCGGAATAACTCCGATTGGTGGGTCGTAATCAAAACTAAGCCTGTAGATAGGGTGGAAGTCGAGAATGTGTTAGATGTTGCATATCAAAACGATATCTTCAGTGTTCACCAAATAGTGGACGAACTTTTAGAAAATGATTTGGAACATCCTGAACATATATTGGAAGAAGTTGATATAAATGAAGTAAGAATTATAGAAAACGAGGAAGAAGAATCAACAAATGAAGCTCAAACTAGTGAGGAAGAAGAATTCTCTGACGAGGAACAATACGTCGATGAGCTTTAAGAAGTTGGTTTCTTTAATAACTCTCGTTTATAGCTAGTTTCTTTATATGTTTCAATCTAAATATGTATTATATTATGCAGATGACAGGCAAGGGTCGAGGTAACAATGACCCTAGTGGTTCTCGGGGTCGAGAAAAGGCTAGGAAACCAAAGAGGAGGGTAGAAGATAATACTCAATCTTTTCCACCCTCTTCTGATGTGCCTATGCCTATGCCTATGTCTTTGCCTCCACCCCAGGGCTATTTTGAGCTACCACAGCATCACACACCCTACACCTTCGTGCAGACACCAGGTCTTTCGTCACAGGGCCATAGGACTATACGTCCGACATACAGTCCACCTCCCTCACTACCACGTGGATCACACCCATCATCATCACATGGATCGCATTGATCCATATCACATCCACATGGATCACAACCATCACTGTCACATCCACTCGGTCACATCAATCAGTATCACATCCACTGGCGGTCCATACAGCTATGTCGCAGTCACAGGGATCGCAACCATCTTCATCAGGGACTCCATCTATTTCAGGCCTTCGACTGCGAGATACTAGCTCTGACCCCCTACACCTTCCACACATGCCTCTGATATACATGTTTCAGACGGTGATGCTGATGCTGACGAGGAGGTGTATTATGATCAATGTGGCAGGATCATTATAGTCCCTGAGGGTGATGGGTAAGAGTTATTTGTTATTTTTACGTTTATTGTTTTGTACAGATTTTACTAAGATATTAATGTATTTTTTTTTTATTAAATTGCAGGTTCATCCCGAGTAATGTTACTACGAGGATAATCACAAAAGCAACCAGAAAGCTTTATGATGGCCCTTATGCGTCTTGGAGTGAATTCCCATTCTCGCTGAAGGAGCAAATTTTCAATGAATTTAAGGTATAAATGTTCTCTTAAGCAATATAATTATTTATATTTATGATATTTCCATATAATATTTAACTTTTCAAAACAGAGCAAGTGTGTATGGGAACACCACCATAGCGCGGACGTGGCTGCAAATTTTCATCTCAAAGCTCGCAAGCGGTTGTCACATACTTTCTCCAAAGCTAGAAAGTTGAACCAGAAGCCTGACTGGTTGCTTCAAAATTTATGGGAGGATTTGCAAAGGCAATGGCTTACCGCAAAGTTCTTAGAGAAGAGCGAAAAAGGAAAGAAAGCTCGCGCATCTGAGAAGGGAGGATCCTTGCACATTGGAGGTGCAATCAGCCTAGGGATAATAAAAAGAAGAATGGTACGTAATTGCTTAATTTATTTTAATTTTCAAAGTATATCTATTCTGTTTATTAACTAAAATTTTTGAGTTTTCAGGAAAAGAAGTTGGGGCGTCCGATGAACCAAGATGAGCTATTCAAGGAGACTCATATTGTAAAGAAGAAGAAAGAGACAGATCAAAAAAGGTGGGTCGAGGGACGAGCCTCGACTGTACATGTAAGTTTTCACTTTTCATTAAGTATTTTGATTTACTTTTATATAAATTTTGAAATACTAATTCAATGTAATTTTTCTTATAGGGTCGCTTGACAGCTGAAGTGGAGGAATTCATACGCATTCAGCCACCTAATGAGTCGGGCGAGCCAATCTAACCTTCAGAGAGGATGTTGAAAGAATGTGGACGGAGGCTGCAGGCGGTCCAAAATGAGGGAAGGTATACGGGCTTCCTACTGAGAAATTACATCACTATAAGTGTGGAATGCAAGGAATCGGGACTTCCTCGCAAGCCGAGCAACTTGATGGGGAGAGCCTCTCCGCTATGCGGGAGACTGTGACAAAGCTCACATCCGAGCTAGAAGCGGCCAAGGAAAGAGAAAAGCTTAGAGATGCTCAGTACATTGGCATGCAAGAGCAGCTCAAATCTCTCTTAGCTTCTGGAGCTTTTTCGATTCCCCGATCTCGTGAGTCATCGCCAGAGGCTCGCCTTCCCCGTGCTCGTTCCTCCCGTCCTCCAAGTGCTCGTTCCTCCCGTCCTCCCCGTGATTGTTGTTCCCGCCCTTGACAAGTAGACCCTTCTGGATACCGTCATGGTGATGGAAGTTCATCAGACGGTGATGATAATGATGTACAAAACACTCATTGACTTTTATACACTTTGAACTAGACAAATAGAATTGGTTTTCTATTGGGGTTGTAATAAGAGTTAACTTAGTTTGGTTAGCTTAATGTGGTAGTTCTATTGAATTTTAAACTTTGTTGGTTTTAATGTTGTTTTTGTGTTGTTGTTGTTGTTGTTGTGTTGTTGTTGTGTTGTTGTTGGTATTGTTGTTGTTGTTGCTTGTAATAGGGATTTGGTATGACTGGTAGGTGGTGTAGCTGCCAAAACAGGCAGTTTCTGCCAAAATAATACCCAGAAAAGCGACCAACTTTGGTCTCTTTTTGGTCGCTTTTCTATTAAAAAAAATAATTTTCTGGGCAATAGCGACCAAAGTTGGTCGCTTTTTACCCAGAATTCTCAAAAAGCGACCAACCTTGGTCGCTATCCATTAAAAAAAATAATTTCTGAAAATATAGCGACCAACTTTGGTCGCTTATATTTTAAAAAAATTTAAATTCTTGAAATTAGCGACCAAAGTTGGTCGCTAATTTTTAAAAAAAAATAATAAAAAAGCGACCAACCTTGGTCTCTATTTTTCAGATTTTAAAATATAATATTTGGATTAGAGACCAAAGTTGGTCGCTTTTTATGATTAATAATAAATAAATAAATAACGTATTTTACATTTAGAGACCAACGTTGGTCGCCAAAATTATATTATTAAAATAATATAGCGACCAACTTTGGTCGCTATAGTCTTTACCCGGAATATTTGGTCCTTTTACCTTAGAGACCAAAGTTGGTCGCTAAAATAAAGGGACCAGCAATATTGCGACCAGGCATGTTTGGTCGCTTTTTGGCCTATAAGCGACCAACTTTTGTTGTTTTTTGTGGTCGCTTTTTACCGGATTTCTAGTAGTGATATAGTGTTCAGAGATGAAATAACGTAAGAAAATCTTTTACATTTGTCGATGTATATCAGTTGCATGATGCACGTTCCTTCATTATGACTTTCAGCGATCAGGTATACGCTGAAACAAGGACAATTCCTCTAATTAAGTACTCCATTAGACGGTAAGATTCAAGTGCATTAATTTTCCTTTTAAGGTATATTAAGTAGTAAGTATTATAAGGACTAATTAAGGTGTTCAATATTTTTAGCAATGATATTGCTCCATTGTATAGCAATAGGATTTGCATTTAGTGCCAGAAATGGGAACCACCAGGAGAACTGGCATTACTGAACTCTTACCAAAGTCTTGCACAGCTCATTAATGTGATATGCAACAACTCCAAAAGTTGATGCCATTAAATTTAGTGTGGTTCTCTTATCCTACACACTATAGAAATATTTTTCTATTTCCTTTCTCAATATAGGTCTATTTCAGTTGGAAATGCTTGCAATAAAGGTAAAATATGTACTTGAGTAGATATATAATGTTCATTTTGCCAGAAATATGCAGTGGCGTTTTCATATTAGATATGGTACAATTATGTTATGATTTGAATGAGATAACATATATACTGTATTAAACAAAGTATGACTACATTTTCTTTCTTTACCAAACCTAATATTAAAAACCAGATTGTTTTTTCTCCGGCCTTCTTCTAGTTGCTTCCTCATGTTCCCATTTTACCCTTTTCTTATCATCAATAAACTTAATTAACTCGTATAGTTAAAGGAAAAAAGTTTTCAAGTTAAACCGATTTTGATTTTTCGCTAAGTATGTGACAAGTTGTAAACCATGCATGAATCACACTCATGGCTTTAAGAAGAATCATTTTACAATTTTCATTCAATAGATAGGACTATGAACTTTAATTTAACCTCTCAGCAGGAAACTGATTCCATATATTTCAAATGCAACAACTTGTGAAAAACACGTGCGCACGAACTTGTTAGCAAACATAAAAAAAGTCTCAGAAGTAAAACTAAACTTCTTTCAAAAACACAAAGAAATATACCAACTGAAATTAAAAAGTCCAAACAAAAGCTTTGTTTCTAGTTTATACTATATGCTGATAAGTAATAAGGCCCTGGTTTACATATCAAAAGTTCAGTACTGGTGAAGTCAATACCCGAACCTACAAACCCTAGCAGGGTGGTGAAATTCCTACTGCTTATCTAATTTTAACCAAACAACAAACTCACCACATTGCAAGGATTTCCTTGAGGTGCGTTCTCGACTCCTTCCCGTTGTCTCACAAATGCATGTATATAATGCAACTTTCTTTTAACTCCTTTCTCTTCAAAGTCTGCCACTGATCCCAAAAACACTATGATAAGTTCAAAATTATAGACTATAAATTCATAATAAGAGTTTAACTTGTATAAACTGACAGTGTACAGCTTCACCGTCAGGTTAAGATTACCTACAGTAACAGATAAATGTATATAGTAATCCTAATTTGGTAACATTAAAATTGCAGGAAATAATTGATGTAGTAAGTTAAAAGAAGTGTACGTTACCATAAATTTGGATCAAGCATTTTCGCATGTTACAGCTGTTTTAATTCTTTCAACAGTGCACTTGATGAGACTATTGACAGTCGCCACTGATCCAAGGGAAAGTTTTGCAGTAGGGACTGAATCAACCAATATTTGAAATGCAACAGTTAATAAAGATCCACCACCATTACTAATAACCTCTGGATTATCTCCACTGTGAATTGTCGATCCGTCTGGAAGGATAGCAAAACCAGATGGTAGGAGAGCAACATAGTCAGGGTCACCACCACTTAACACCACATTCATGGCAACGATATCGACTGGTGCATAAATAACATACGAGCCTGTTGAATCAGTGGAGCTCTCTTGGAGTATCAACATATTACTCTGGTTTGAGTTTCCACTCTACAGAAACAGAGAATCTTGCTTTAGTTTTTTGCACACTAGCAAGAGAGAACACAGGTGAATATAATGAGGTACATAATAAGAAGACCATACATTAACACGGAGTAGAGATACACAGTTTCCAGGATCACGACCATTTGCAATATGTGCCATTTCTTGAACAAGCCCTCCATTTGAAAGAATATCCCACTGTACATATGCAATGATGTGATGGAGTATCATTAATCATCAATGTGATAGTGGTGTAATATATCACATGACGTCGGTATAAGTTCAATAAAAGTTAAGTAGACCTATTACCATTTAAATTTGGTGACACAATATGTAAATTTGACTTATATCAGATGATCAGTTTAACCTTTTTGGTTGAAAAGATAGTACAATATCACTATTAATATGCATCACAACATAGATAATTTGACTTAATTATTTACCTCACTTCTAGAGTTTTCGTCCCGGAGAAAATCAAAAACCCTCTTAGGAGAAACTGGAAGCCAAAAAGATGTTGCAGCACTCAGGACTATACCAGGAGGTCTTCCTGGATCATCTATACTCTTTCTAGTCATGACTCTAACATCATCAGCACCGCTTCCAGACAATGTTGTCCACGTGTGAGTTGTCGAGGCACCAACACCAGCACAAAAACTCATCACCATTCTCTCAGCCAGTTTTAACATGCTTTTTCGTCCAGCTGGACTTGTGATGACTGCATATTAATAGAAAACACTAGTAGTGATTCACAATGAATTTACCATTAGAATAAGGAAGAAAACTAAATTAAGGGATTTATTTGTATTACTTCCAACATCTCCTGTTGGGATGTTATTAGCCATTGCACTTGCAAGCCGTTCACATTGTCTATCTAATGTTGCTACCCAGCGTTTTGCTCCAAATGCAAGGCCTGAATTGACAAGAGGTTTGTAGATGCTGTGGACAGCTTTTTCATCCACTTCAACGTGTTCAACCCACGTAACCTATAAATAACAAAGTGTTAAGTACATAATAGAGAGTTTAACTTTTATGCAGTGACAATATTTATAGTTTTCTAATTACATTATCAGGTAATAGTATAAACTTTCAAAAGTGGCATTACCTTGGAATAACCATTTGGCAATTCTTGAATTAAACAACCGGATGGCCTTCTTCTGCAGCGCGACACTGAAGTAGGGCGCAAATTGTCAAGGGAAACATCAACCACTGCCCAAGTCCCATCAGCATGTTGTTTACAATATCTCACAAAATAGTTCTCACGAGTTGGAACAAGTGGAGAAGGAACCTGGAACTCAGCTGTCATCTAAAATATTAAAACGTAACAACAGAAATATCCATTAGAATATATCCATCCATTTCATAAAAAATGAAAGAATTTGCAGTACTAGGTTCACATTTTCAAATAATAATAATGTCATATATATATATAAACAAAGAGTAGTACAAGAAACATATCTAGTAGTAGAACAATACCACTTGCAATGCTCCATTATAATTTCCTGCTACGCCAGTAGACAATACTTCAAGGGTCATTGCTTTTGATACTAGGCCAGCAAAAACATTTGTCCATTGGTTCTAAAATCGATACAAGAACAATTAACAAAACAGAAAAATCAGTTATGAAAAAACAACAATGAAGAATAAACAAAACCACCATAAAAATAATTCCTACCACATCCATCAAAATTTCAACTAAATTAATATGATTCATAATAACAACTGCTGATTCTCTTGAGGCTTCAGATTTTAGTGCCAATGGTTTTGGGCCAATCCCTCGAGGGAAATTTCTGACATATTCCTCCTCACTTAATATCTCAGTAGAATTGATGTTTGGGCTTGGCATCCATAAGGGTTCTCCAGATTGAGCCATTCTAATAAGTTCCTCCATTGCAGCAACAGCAAGCTCAATAACAATAGGCTTCTCAGCATCTGTAAGGCCTGATATTGCAGTTCTGAGAAGATCACCAGCACTGTACATCTCTCCAAGTAGGCTTGATTGAGGCCTAAAACCAAGATCCAGTGAGCAAGATGCTTCAGGCGGAGGAATTTGAGGAAAATTAAGCAGTGGTTTCCCTCCAACATATTTCGCAGCAATTCCAGATATCCTGTCAATCTGTAGGATAAATACAAATTTAACTTTTATACTTCCACCGAAGCATAATTTTTAAATAGTCAGTAAAATTTGCACTAAGAGAATTTAACTGTTAAATGAGACGATCACACAATTCAATATGATATCAAATTAGAGCAAGACGGTCCTAGGGGTTCGAGTATTAATATCATATCATTATCACACAATTCAATATGATACCAAACTAGAGCAAGAAGGTCCTAGGTGTTCGAGTATTATTAATATCATAACATTATCAAAAAAAATTTCTTACGTGCACAGTCCATTGAAGAAGATGAGAGAGCATGTTAAAAAGCATGTTAACACTTATAAAATAAATGGTCACGCAATTCAATATAGATATACTCCCTCCGGTCCACTTTAATTAATATTTTGGCCTTTTTTTGTAGTTCACAATATTTGATTTTTTCAGATATCAAGAAAGAATTAACTTCTTTATTTCAAAAAGCCTAAGAGTATTTGTTGTATTTTTAATGACCAAATTAAGGTTAATATGGTCAATTCTATAGTTAAATAATTTTAAAAGATTGGATTCTTTAATAAGAGTGAAAACAACCAAAAATCAGTTAAGGTGGACCAGAGAGAGTAATAGTCTATCATAAGTGGCATTAGAAAACTGAAATGAGGCAATTAACGTTTTACAACATATCTTTTAACTAGATGGTCATGAAATCCATTACCTATAGTGTAATAATCCATAATAAATCTGAAAATGCAACAAACAACTTTTTATAAAGTACCAAGATTCATTTTTTTTTTACTGAGAGTATTTGCGACAAGCAAACATAGAACAAAATGGACATATGATTACCTCTTCTCTAAGACGAGCATTTTCAATCCTCAAGTGCTGCTCATCAAAGGACATCTCGCCTATGGCTGCAGGCCCTCCACAATTTGGGCATGCTGCATTGCTAAGTGCTTCTTTATATCTTATATTCTCAGCTCGTAGCTTCTCATTTTCATTCCTCAATTGTGTGTTCTCAGATCGTTCATGTTGAGCCTGCAGTAGTTAACACCAAAATACCTCAATTTGCAGCTAATTCATTAATTTTTTTAATGGATTCCTAAATGTTTGAATCTTTGTCAACCATTTATATTCGATGCAGGTATCCAAAGCTTAATGATACTCCCTCTGTTCCAATTTATGTGAACCTATTTCCTTTTTTGTCCGTTTCAAAAAGAATGAACCCTTTCTAAATTTGGTAACAATTTAGCTTAAACTTACAATTCTACCCTTAATGAGAAACTTTTATAACCACAAAAATACTCTAGGTCCCTTTTCTTAATATATA